TGTTGTGTTTAGTTTGTTGTGTTTAGTTTGTTGTGTTTAGTGTGTTGTGTTTAGTGTGTTGTGTTTAGTTTGTTGTGTTTAGTGTGTTGTGTTTAGTGTGTTTTGTTTAGAGGGTTGTGTTTAGTGTGTTGTGTTTAATTTGTTGTGTTTAGTGTGTAGTGTGTTGTGTTTAGTGTGTTGCGTTTAGTGTGTTGTGTTTAGTGTGTTGTGTTTAGTGTGTTGTGTTTAGTGTGTTGTGTTTAGTGTGTTGTGTGTTAGTGTGTTGTGTTTAGTGTGTTGTGTTTAGTGTGTTGTGTTTAGTGTATTGTGTTTAGTGTGTTGTGTTTAGTGTGTTGTGTTTAGTGTGTTGTGTTTAGTGTGTTGTGTTTAGTGTGTTGTGTTTAGTGTGTTGTGTTTAGTGTGTTGTGTTTAGTGTGTTGTGTTTAGTTTGTTTAGTTTGTTGTGTTTAGTGTGTTGTGTTTAGTGTGCTGTGATTAGTGTGTTGTGTTTAGTGTGTTGTGTTTAGTTTGTTGTGTTTAGTGTGTTGTGTTTAGTGTGTTTTGTTTAGTGTGTTGTGTTTAGTGTGTTGTGTTTAATTTGTTGTGTTTAGTGTGTAGTGTGTTGTGTTTAGTGTGTTGTGTTTAGTGTGTAGTGTTTAGTGTGTTGTGTTTAGTGTGTTGTGTTTAGTGTGTTGTGTTTAGTGTGTTGTGTTTAGTGTGTTGTGTTTAGTGTGTAGTGTGTTGTGTTTAGTGTGTTGTGTTTAGTGTGTTGTGTTTAGTGTGTTGTGTTTAGTGTGTTGTGTTTAGTGTGTTGTGTTTAGTGTGTTTTGTTTAGTGTGTTGTGTTTAGTGTGTTGTGTTTAATTTGTTGTGTTTAGTGTGTAGTGTGTTGTGTTTAGTGTGTTGTGTTTAGTGTGTTGTGTTTAGTGTGTTGTGTTTAGTTTGTTGTGTTTAGTTTGTTGTGTTTAGTGTGTTGTGTTTAGTGTGTTGTGTTTAGTGTGTTGTGTTTAGTGTGTTGTGTGTTAGTGTGTTGTGTTTAGTGTGTTGTGTTTAGTGTGTTGTGTTTAGTGTATTGTGTTTAGTGTGTTGTGCTTAGTGTGTTGTGTTTAGTGTGTTGTGTTTAGTGTGTTGTGTTTAGTGTGTTGTGTTTAGTGTGTTGTGTTTAGTGTGTTGTGTTTAGTGTGTTGTGTTTAGTTTGTTTAGTTTGTTGTGTTTAGTGTGTTGTGTTTAGTGTGCTGTGATTAGTGTGTTGTGTTTAGTGTGTTGTGTTTAGTTTGTTGTGTTTAGTGTGTTGTGTTTAGTGTGTTGTGTTTAATTTGTTGTGTTTAGTGTGTAGTGTTTAGTGTGTTGTGTTTAGTGTGTTGTGTTTAGTGTGTTGTGTGTTAGTGTGTTGTGTTTAGTGTGTTGTGTTTAGTGTGTTGTGTTTAGTGTATTGTGTTTAGTGTGATGTGCTTAGTGTGTTGTGTTTAGTGTGTTGTGTTTAGTGTGTTGTGTTTAGTGTGTTGTGTTTAGTGTGTTGTGTTTAGTGTGTTGTGTTTAGTGTGTTGTGTTTAGTTTGTTTAGTTTGTTGTGTTTAGTGTGTTGTGTTTAGTGTGCTGTGATTAGTGTGTTGTGTTTAGTGTGTTGTGTTTAGTTTGTTGTGTTTAGTGTGTTGTGTTTAGTGTGTTTTGTTTAGTGTGTTGTGTTTAGTGTGTTGTGTTTAATTTGTTGTGTTTAGTGTGTAGTGTGTTGTGTTTGGTGTGTTGTGTTTAGTGTGTAGTGTTTAGTGTGTTGTGTTTAGTGTGTTGTGTTTAGTGTGTTGTTTTTAGTGTGTTGTGTTTAGTGTGTTGTGTTTAGTGTGTTGTGTTTAGTGTGTAGTGTGTTGTGTTTAGTGTGTTGTGTTTAGTGTGTTGTGTTTAGTGTGTTGTGTTTAGTGTGTTGTGTTTAGTGTGTTGTGTTTAGTGTGTTTTGTTTAGTGTGTTGTGTTTAGTGTGTTGTGTTTAATTTGTTGTGTTTAGTGTGTAGTGTGTTGTGTTTAGTGTGTTGTGTTTAGTGTGTTGTGTTTAGTGTGTTGTGTTTAGTTTGTTGTGTTTAGTTTGTTGTGTTTAGTGTGTTGTGTTTAGTGTGTTGTGTTTAGTGTGTTGTGTTTAGTGTGTTGTGTGTTAGTGTGTTGTGTTTAGTGTGTTGTGTTTAGTGTGTTGTGTTTAGTGTATTGTGTTTAGTGTTTTGTGCTTAGTGTGTTGTGTTTAGTGTGTTGTGTTTAGTGTGTTGTGTTTAGTGTGTTGTGTTTAGTGTGTTGTGTTTAGTGTGTTGTGTTTAGTGTGTTGTGTTTAGTTTGTTTAGTTTGTTGTGTTTAGTGTGTTGTGTTTAGTGTGCTGTGATTAGTGTGTTGTGTTTAGTGTGTTGTGTTTAGTTTGTTGTGTTTAGTGTGTTGTGTTTAGTGTGTTGTGTTTAATTTGTTGTGTTTAGTGTGTAGTGTTTAGTGTGTTGTGTTTAGTGTGTTGTGTTTAGTGTGTAGTGTGTTGTGTTTAGTGTGTTGTGTTTAGTGTGTTGTGTTTAGTGTGTTGTGTTTAGTGTGTTGTGTTTAGTGTGTTTTGTTTAGTGTGTTGTGTTTAGTGTGTTGTGTTTAATTTGTTGTGTTTAGTGTGTAGTGTGTTGTGTTTAGTGTGTTGTGTTTAGTGTGTTGTGTTTAGTGTGTTGTGTTTAGTGTGTTGTGTTTAGTTTGTTGTGTTTAGTTTGTTGTGTTTAGTGGGTTGTGTTTAGTGTGTTGTGTTTAGTGTGTTGTGTTTAGTGTGTTGTGTTTAGTGTGTTGTGTGTTAGTGTGTTGTGTTTAGTGTGTTGTGTTTAGTGTGTTGTGTTTAGTGTATTGTGTTTAGTGTGTTGTGCTTAGTGTGTTGTGTTTAGTGTGTTGTGTTTAGTGTGTTGTGTTTAGTGTGTTGTGTTTAGTGTGTTGTGTTTAGTTTGTTTAGTTTGTTGTGTTTAGTGTGTTGTGTTTAGTGTGCTGTGATTAGTGTGTTGTGTTTAGTGTGTTGTGTTTAGTTTGTTGTGTTTAGTGTGTTGTGTTTAGTGTGTTGTGTTTAATTTGTTGTGTTTAGTGTTTAGTGTGTTGTGTTTAGTGTGTTGTGTTTAGTGTGTTGTGTTTAGTGTGTTGTGTTTAGTGTGTTGTGTTTAGTGTGTTTTGTTTAGTGTGTTGTGTTTAGTGTGTTGTGTTTAATTTGTTGTGTTTAGTGTGTAGTGTGTTGTGTTTAGTGTGTTGTGTTTAGTTTGTTGTGTTTAGTTTGTTGTGTTTAGTGTGTTGTGTTTAGTGTGTTGTGTTTAGTGTGTTGTGTTTAGTATGTTGTGTTTAGTGTGTTGTGTTTAGTTTGTTGTGTTTAGTGTGTTGTCCTTCCCCCGCACCTCCGATAGTTATCACGGTTGGCTACGTACGGTGCGAAAAAACTTCAACATAAGTACATAGTCATCAACATTATCATCATCATCATTTTCACAACTCTGTTTTTTGAATGCACTATCGTCTATACAATAAATCCATCATATTCTTACGCGCACAGAAGAAACAACACCATCGCAAGTTGCATCAATGTCATCGCCACTGCTATCATTATCACGCGATACAAGCTTTTAAAAATGGAATCGGACAAATATTCTTATGGGAAGAAACTCCTGAAAAAAATAACCTTGAGATTAAGTATTCCTGGCATTGGTCAGTTATAACATTATCATCATCATCACCACCATGAGCATCATCATCCCATTACCATCATGCTCACCTGCCCCATCCTGGACAGCTGTGAAAAAGAGCTTCAGAGCTCATCGGATTCCTCCTCTTGCAGTGTAAATAAAGATTCTGATATGCAGACGTCGCGTGTAAAGTTTGTTTGTTCGTTCGTTCGTGTGTTAGTTTCTCGATCCGCTTGTCCTGGTGAGGGTCGCGGTGGCATCGTGTTGAGTAGTGGTGGTCCAGACTTCCCTTGCTACGGACTCCAGCATTGCATTACTACACTACTATACACTACTACACTATACACTACTATACACTACACTATACACTACACTATACACTACACGCGACTTTACACTGCACTACGATACACTACTATACACTACACTATACACGACAATACACTACAATACACTACACTATACACTACTATCCACTATATTATACACTACACTATACACCACAATACACGACACTATACACTACTATATCACAGCTCTTCCTGGGGAATTACCAGACGTTCTCAAGCCAGCAGAGTGACAGTCCCGCCAGCGTGTCCTGGGCCGGCCCCGGGGGTCTTCGACCAGTGTGGAGTACGTGTATGAATTATTTCACATGTCATTCTCACGTGTGTTTGTATTTTCACACACACACACACGCAAAAACGCGTACAATCAGGGTTTGCAGAAACCCTGATTGAACACGTTCTGTGAAAACAACAACGGCCCAAAAAAAAAACCCCTAGGCTGTTGGACAGAATTCTTTAGTGTCTGTTCGCCGGCAATGAAAAGCTAAGTTTTTAGCCACGGCCGCTTATTCTGCAGTCGGAGGAAGTAATCGATTTGGCTCTCGCTGAAATGTATTTAATTCACCGTTCTATCCCGCAATCGCAAAGTGTATAACAGCAATACCGAAAGTCATCGCGATGTCCTGCTCAAGTGAGCACTCAGAATGTGGTCATCCACCCGATTTACAGCCCAGAGACAGTGGTGGACCATTCCACATTGCTATGGCGGGCCAAGTTTTTTTTTCAAGAGGACAACCACAATTGACTTCCCCACAAAGTGGTAGTAATTTTAGAGACCCTCGACGGATGATGGGCTGGGTCGACCCCCCAACTAGGATTTGAACTTGAAGCCTCCGGATTGTGATCCGCTCGCTCTATCACTGAGCGAGCTGGTCGGCTCTATATCCACACACACACACATCATCACCATGTATAAATGCACGGTATCTGCCGTTAAGCATTCATTATGCTCAATGTACCTCTGTAGAGTCCTGCAAGGCGATAACTTTGCATATAGGCATGCAGTGTCGACTCACCGCTCGTAACTTATCCTGGGAGCGGACAGCCGGTGGTAGAGATAGAACGGCCTTGGTCTCAGTACTCACATCGTGCTGTGTAAACAACAACAACAACAAAACACAACCAAGCAATTCATCATCCAGCTCGAGGTTTACACGCAAGTTGGTTGATTCCATACCGAGCCTCATCACTGCAAGAGTGACGAGCAATTATGCCAGGACCCCGCGCACAACGCAGATGTGCCATTGTAATGAGCTGTTTGTTAAGGAATAATCACTTATTCTTAGTTCTTTCGGTAAAGTCACGTTGAAGGGAAACAACAAAATAATAAAATATATATAGAACAATAATATATATATATTTTTTATTTTGTTGTTTCCCTTCAACGTGACTTTACCGAAAGAACTAAGAATATGAATTACTGCAGTCACGAAAGCTTTAAATCAGAATGATCACTTGCGTCTATTGGTCGCTCAAATGCCCCAGAATCTCAAAGCGCCTTGCATCGCATCACAACATTTCAATCGTTCCCAATGCCCAGCCGTAGCTTTCATTTTTTGTTTAGCCTAGGGGACCCCCTGATGACAGCTCTCCCTGTGCAGCACAAGATGATGGCTGCACCAGCCTGCTAGTGGGCATTCGTCTGTCAGGAGGTGGGTGACGTTGCAATTATACAGCACAGTCCGATATACCGCAACGCCACGTGGTGTTTTCATAACGCCAGTTGAACATAACTTGATGAATGTGTTAGGGAACATTTGTTTTGTTATAACACGGATGCCAATTGGATACAACGCGATCGAGTGGAGGGAACTACGTCGCGCGAGTAGGAATAAGCGGTCGTGCGGCTGCCTCGGCGTTGCATCACACAAGGCTTCGGGATACTGCTGGATGCTTCGAGATGCTACCCACGCGCCTCGGTCTTTGGTCAGCCTGCGTTACGCATCGCACACGTGTTATCGCGGGCTGTGCTTTACCCCGATATTATATATTATTCATTATAACGCGATTTTCCCATAACGCGGTGTTCTTCAGGGACGCAACTACCGTATTATAAGAGAACAAAACTGCTGCTGTTTCAATTATATTACAAAGTCGCTTTTTTTTTAAATTAGACTAAATTTAACCGTGACTCCCACAAGCACGGCCTATTTTTTTTTTCAAATAACGTCACGGGATCTTTAACGTCCAATGTGAAGCAGACGGTGCATAATATGTGTTATCCTTAAATATTAAAACTTGAGGATAATAAACCAGCCGCGAGGTCTGAGGCTTTGATGGGAAAACCTTGGCAACAAGCGGCGAATGAGTTACAGCTCGGCCTTGTCACCAAAAGTATTTTATATCAATTATTTTATTTGAGTGTCACCAAAAGTATTTTATATCAATTATTTTATTTGAGTCCTGTTTGCGAAAGTCCATTGAGACATTTTATATATATCTTTAAATATCCCAACACACTCTTCTGCGTCTGCCAGTCACAGTAATAACCCGAGTAATCTTTGTCAAAGTTGAATAATGGCTGGTTCTGACCGAAAGATGAGGTTTTTTTTATATTCTCTTGGATTTAAAGGTTATGACGAAAGAATTGCATTTTGGCAGAACATTTGGAAAGTGTTAAATGAACCGTGTGTTTAGATGTTCACACCTCTTTGGTGCTGTATGCTCTACGTCTTCCGAACGTCTTCCACCGTTTCAATTCAATGTTTATTTTATGTTACATGGACAATCCCATTTAGGCAGTTACCCGATAAATATATTGCTGTGGTGGAGAGGAACCCAGCCAGCTGCCAGCTAGGAAACTCGAGGCATATATTATTTTGTTAGTAGTGGTACGATTGTAGCTTCGAAGAAGATTCAACTGGTCTGCAGGACGGGCTGGCGCCATCTGTGCCATCCGACAGAAAACCCTGCAAAAGGAAACTTGGGTACCTCTTTGGGAGCTCTGTAGAACGACGGATCGAAGGAGAGTCCATTGCCGTAAGATGTGAGGTCGCGTCCAAACTGAAGCTGAGCGAAGGACAACATCTCTGGCCTCGCCTGGGACGACTCCCTAAAGAATGAATGCAGTTGTGTGCATGCGGGTGTGTGCACACGCGTGTGTGCATGTGGTGGGAATTATGTGAATATTTGTAGGGCATTTGGTGCCAACGTAATACATTTGTGAAAGTCCAAGGGGAACCGGAGGATCCAGACAAAATCTATGAATGAGTGGATAATACTCAAAGCTCTGCACAGATAGATTCGAAATGTAATTTCTGTACTGCCATCTCCTGGTTACCTCACAGCCCACTGTTTAGACGGTTATAGATCTCGTGACATTTATAGGAAACATGAATACGTCTTGAAGGTATTCAAAGGCACCAGTGTATAGATGCATGCTTGGAATTTACATTGAGATACGCAAAAAGGAACACGTGGAGTAGAGAACATACCCCAGGCTAATGACACAATTCAAACCGTTAAGAAAAGTTAAGTGGGCTTGTGCAGGACGCTTCACGAGAAGGGCTGATGGCACGTGGTCCAGAATCATTATGTGGCCGCCGAGGAATGGAAGACACCTGAGAGACCACCCACCAAGGGGATGGAGCGATGGTGTCAGCTCGTGTGCAGCTGCTAGATGGAATATCACATCGCAGGACCTTGAGGGTTGGCATCGGCCTTGAGAGGCCTCCATCCGGCATTGCTGATCACGATTACATTTTAACACGTAGGCTTTCGCGACCAATATCATCCATATTACAGGGTGTTGTTAAACCCGCCACCACAAATCTGGCTGTCGCCTGATGAAGCTAGTTGTAATTACTGGCGAAACGTCGTACTCAAATTATAAACGTCATGGCTTAGCTCTCCAACACACCGGTGTGCTGTACTAGTGACGAATTGTGGCACGTTCTCTTGGGTGGTGGCGGGTTTAACGACACATTTGAATATGTACGCAATCTAACCAAAAAAAAACCTGTATTATGCACGAACACATTATTGATCGTGGTCGGTCACGATGACGATGAATGCCTCTTTGCTACCTCGTTGCGCATTCTGGCGCTTCTTAAGATCTCCCTGAACTGGCAGCCTGACGTCAGAACGCACATGCTTAATTAATCAATGGAATTGGTCAATCCATCACTGCCGCTGCTGGTTCTCAACGGGTCAGCGACGGCAGTTGAAACGACGTTTAACCAAAAAAAATGGGTGACGTGTGTTAATATCTCATCCAAGATAAGGCTGACACTGATGAATGGCCAGGCCCGACGGTTACCGTGTGTTGCTTAATCGTGTCTTAATGAACCGAGGGATTCACTGATTACAGTCGTCAATGAACAAGGGGAGCCTGCGGCAGTTGGAGAACTACAATATTAAAAGTTCGCTTAGGAACAGATTCATAATTTATTCTGAAGAGAGTCTTACAGCCTTATAATTTCCGATGTCCGACGTGAACGCGTGTAATGCGTCACTGGAAACGTTTTTTTTGTGTTCATTTAATCATCATTATGATCGCACCGTGCATTGTCCATCCACTGCTGGATGAATGTCCCTGCATGACCCATCGCCTCCCCTCCGTCCCTGCGATGTCCTGCACGTGGACTGATCCCAAACGCTCCAATGGACACAACGATATCACCTTCGCCTCGCGGCAAGAAGCACCTGCGTTCAATTCCCGACTCAGTCGCCCGTCCGTGCCGAGTTTGTACGTTCTCCCCCTGTTCTACAGAGGTTTCCTCCTGCTTATCCGCTTCCACCCCATAGCTCAACACTCGTCTTGTAGAATCACTGCTTCTCCGCTTCCACCCCAATAGATCCACACTCGTCTTGTAGGATCACTGCTTCTCCGCTTCCACCCCATAGCTCAACACTCGTCTTGTAGAATCACTGCTTCTCCGCTTCCACCCCGTAGCTCAACACCCGTCTTGTAGAATCACTGCTTCTCCGCTTCCACCCCATGGCTCAACACTCGTATTGTAGAATCACTGCTTCTCTGCTTCCACCCCATAGCTCAACACCCGTCTTGTAGGATCACTGCTTCTCCGCTTCCACCCCGTAGCTCAACACTCGTATTGTAGAATCACTGCTTCTCCGCTTCCACCCCGTAGCTCCACACTCGTCTTGTAGGATCACTGCTTCTCCGCTTCCACCCCATAGCTCAACACCCGTCTTGTAGAATCACTGCTTCTCCGCTTCCACTCCGTAGCTCAACACTCGTATTGTAGAATCACTGCTTCTCCACTTCCACCCCGTAGCTCCACACTCGTCTTGTAGGATCACTGCTTCTCCGCTTCCACCCCATAGCTCAACACTCGTCTTGTAGAATCACTGCTTCTCCGCTTCCACCCCGTAGCTCAACACTCGTCTTGTAGAATCACTGCTTCTCCGCTTCCACCCCGTAGCTCAACACTCGTCTTGTAGAATCACTGCTTATCCGCTTCCACCCCGTAGCTCAACACTCGTCTTGTAGAATCACTGCTTCTCCGCTTCCACCCCATAGCTCAACACTCGTCTTGTAGAATCACTTAATATTGGCCCAACCGCCCCAATGTGGGACTCTCTTGAGAAGAGTTTGGACTTAGTGTGGTAAATAAATAATAATTAATAATCATCATCATGGTTATTATAATTATCTCCACAGCAGTCGTACTCTTTGGTGTATTGTCTCCTTTGGTCTATTCACCATTCTTGTCCATAAGTCATCATTCCTTATGAGGAGCTGTCCTGCCCAAGTACAATTATGTGATCATTCATTACGAAGTCTCTGATTGGCATTTGTGCCCCGATTCAATGCCTGTGTAATTCCAAGCTGCTTTGAGCACTCTTTAGATATTCTTTAGTTTTAGTTTTTTTCGTGGCCAGGGTTCGCATCTATGCCATCGCTGGCAGATCTAAGCGATAGTTGATCGAAAACTTTCCTTTGCACGCACATCGTTAACCTGCACTTAATTGTGAAGTTCAGCTCTTACATGGGAAAGTAGTAAAATAACGCGGTGTTACACTGGAAAATAAGTTCATCATGAGGTCATTTGATTTTATCGTTCTACCAAAACGCCGAGAATATCGCAGTGTGTGCGTATGCAGTGGTGGAAATGGGCCGGAATGCCCCGGAACGCCGTGGTGGGAGTGAATTTTTTTACCTGACTGCGTTTCGGAAGGAGTCAAGGATTCATCTTTTATTAATGTGACTCACACATAGACCCACAGACACACACAGAGACCCACAGACACACACATAGACCCACAGACACGCACATAAACCCACAGACACACACAGACACACACACAGAGACCCACAGACACACACAGAGACCCACAGACACACACAGAGACCCACAGACACACACAGAGACCCACAGACACACACACACAGAGACCCACAGACACACACAGAGACCGACAGACACACATAGAAACCCACAGACACGCACATAAACCCACAGACACATACAGAGACATACAGACACACAGAGACCCACAGACACACACAGACACATACAGAGACCCACAGACACACACACAGAGACCCACAGACACACACAGAGACCCACAGACACGCACATAAACCCACATACACACACAGAGACCCACAGACACATACAGAAACTCACAGACACACACAGAGACCCACAGACACGCACATAAACCAACAGACACACACATAGACACACAGACACAGAGAGACCCACAGACACACAGAGACCCACAGACACGCACAGAGACCCACACACCGAACGAAGCTCCCCCTCCTCATATCTCGTGTGATTGGGAGGAATCATTTCTGAGTTCCCCCAGTAATTGCCTTTGCCATTTCCAGCCCTGTGTGTGTTGTGTACCGGTATTGATGAGCCAGAGTATGAAGTATTTGAATGGCGCGTACTGCCGACCGAAATGAGACGCGAGGCTGTAGTCGTCATTAAAGGCACGAAGTGCATATTAGCGATGGAGGGAATGTTGTTTCCGCAGCATATGTGTGTGTGTGTATGCGTGTGTGTATGCGTGTGTGTGCGTGGTAATGAACGACAAATGGAGTGGGGTCGGGGGAAAGGAGAACACATTTAAAGCAAGTCAAAAAATGCACATTCGTAAGAATACACCACTGTAGTTCATGGTGTTGTGTAAATGTGGCAAGACCTTCTTAACGAAACAAAAAAAACTATTTTTTATTTTATCAGGTAAGGCCCACTGAAAAGACATGGCTCTCTTTCAGAAGCGACCCGGCCACAAATGATAGCTCAACGAAGACCCACAGACACGCACATAAACCCACATACACACAGAGACCCACAGACATGCACATAAACCCACATACACACAGAGACCCACAGACACGCACATAAACCCACATACACACAGAGACCCACAGACACGCATATAAACCGACATACACACATAACACACACATACACACAGAGACCCACAGACACGCATATAAACCCACATACACACAGAGACCCACAGACACGCACATAAACCCACATACACACAGAGACCCACAGACACGCACAGAGACCAACAGACACGCTCAGAGACCCACAGACACACACAGAGACCCACATACACACAGAGACCCACAGACACGCACAGAGACCAACAGACACGCACAGAGACCAACAGACACGCACAGAGACCCACAGACACGCACAGAGACCAACAGACACGCACAGAGACCCACATACACACAGAGACCCACAGATACGCACATAAACCCACATACACACAGAGACCCATATACACACAGAGACCCACAGACACGCACAGAGACCCACAGACACACAGAGACCCACAGACACGCACAGAGACCCACATACACGCACATAAACCCACATACACACAGAGACCCACAGACACGCACAGAGACCCACAGACACGCACAGAGACCAACATACACACACAGAGACCCACAGAACAGCCACATACTTTACACACATGTTGATTATAAATAATTCTAAAATGTGAAAAAAATCCACGCGACCGCGGGGAGAACACGCAAACTCCAACTATACAGCAGGCGTCAGGGTCGGGATGGAACCCACGCCCTCCTGTATACCAGGCGAGGTAGTTAACATCTCGCAACCACAGCGCCCCTTTTGCCGATGATGAACGTGTCACGATTTTGTACAGCGTGTTGAGATCATGATGCGCTTAGATGCTACGTGCAGCCAAATTGCATTCGAATGACCAATTGCCGTGTACAAATAGGCATTGCCATTTGGAGAGTCATGGTGACTTTTACACTCAATGTTTGGCATTTCTCATCATAATTGCTGTCCAATTATTACGCATTGTCAACGCACCGTCGTTACGGTGCAACAACGATAACCGATGAAATTCACGAACCATTATTTGTTTTACAATGTGGTGAATGTAGCGGCCTGTAATGGATCGAGGGATCATATGAACCAATTACATACAACATATATGGATAAACACCATTGATTCTTACACATCTAAAATTGTGAGATTAACAATGTTAAATGTACATTTGTTTAGTGCATTGAACTATGAATTCAGTTCGATTGCCGGGGACGGCTAACATCAGTGGCAAAGAGATATCTTAACCGGTCCAGGGCACCTCCTCCTTCACCAACCCCCATTGACCAGCGTGGTGAAGTATGGTCAAAACAATGCCCATGACCGACACGGCATGGGTATCCCTTCATCCAGCAGCGGATTGACAAATGGATGTTACAGTATTCTTGGGTCTTTGAACATATCTACGTGGTGACTTTACCGAAAGACCCAAGAATATGAATTCCTGCAGTCACGAAAGCTTTAAGTCAGGATGTTACAATGTCTTCACAATAATCGATGCAAGACCGCACTCCTAATTTTTCAACATTTAAAAAAAAAAGTGTGCACATATACAGATGCTCTATGCGAGACAAACACCAAGGCAGTTTTTTACAATTGCATTTGAGGTGCTAGTCGGTCTGCGGATGTGCGCGCGTACTTTACGTGCGGTAGTGTAGCGGTTAGCGTGCTGCAACTATGAACCCGGCGGCACGAGATCGATTCCCGCTCGTGGCCAAAATTAGTGACGATTATTTGAACCGGTCCTGGGCTTCCCACCGGTCGACTCAGCCTCAAATGAGTACCTGGTGCGGTGTATAGTAAACATCGACACTGGAGAGACGAAGGTGGTCGGGCGTGGTGCTGCTGGCAACCAACCCCTTCGTGGACCGTTCCAGCCTTCGTAAGTGCTCGCTAACAGCACTTGCCCCAACAGTTTGTTAATGCTATACGGGGGAATCTTTGTTTTTTTGTTACATGTAACCAAGAGCGGTACAGTAATTTTAAACGTTTGCTGAATACATTTCACAGCGTTTGAACCCAACTCCCGTGGTATATTTGCTCGCGCGCGACAATGGCATTGGCCGCACACCGTTGCCGTGTTTGTCCAGCAATGTTGTCACGCGTTGACCCTTCTCGAATACAACTCGGGCAACCGAAGAGCGTGCCCGAGCAAGCGTCGTCGTGCGCCCAGGAATGAACCGACTAAGCACGCCGAGTGGCCCTTGCTTGCACGTGTGATTTGTCCGCCTTGTCCTACCGTGAGCACAATAAGTCAAAGGTTTCCTCTGCAGAAAACCGATTAGCGCAAGGCCTTCATCTCTCGCCCACCACTGTCTTCTCGCAGAGGCCCTTTGGCTGGCCATCGATCAAAGACGGGCACCGCATCGCGCGCTTCAAGTTGCCCTTCTGCCGCCGTCTGGAACGCTCTTCCTTCCGATAGTAGGAAGCCACTGGAGATATGCACTTTTAAATCATCATCTAGAGTGACAAACTCATTTCTTTAGAACTGCTTTTTGTGTTTAGTTTGTTGTCCTTCCCCCGCACCTCCGATTAGCGCGGTTGGCTACGTACGGTGCTGAAGAAGCTCAACATACATGCAGCACATATATAAATAGCTCAATTAAATCGTTGAAATAATATAAAACACAACCTTGATGTACAATGCGCGGCCGTTTGTCAATCCACGACTCGATGAAGGCCTCTCTCCCCCCGCTGTGTCAGTAATGGGAGTTGTTTGACCATGCTTCACCACGCTGGTCAGTGAAGGTTGGTGAAAGGGTGGGAGGGGTCCAGGACTGGATCAGACATCACTCCTCGCCACTGATTGTTATCCGTGGCTGGGAATCACATGCAGATTGCGGGTTGATAAGTGCAGTGCGCTAACCACGATGCCACCTCTCCACCCCAACTTCCTTGAGATTATCTTCTTTGGTTCTTTCGGTAAAGTCACGTAGAATGAGAATAAAATAATAAATTGATCAAATAAAATAACACAATAATATTCTCACGACGTTTCGGCCACAACACAAGCGAAAGAACCAAAGAAGATGAATCCTTGCAGTCACGAAAGCTTTAAATCGAAATTTCCTTGAGATTAGTTTAAGGCTTTGCTGCATTGAGGAATTAAATATTTTTACGTTGATTTTTTTTTATTCAAAACAATTTCACCATCCAGGTTTATTCTCCTTCGTGTACACAGGGTTATTGAGGGCTTTCGGGAGTTTTTTTCGGGAGGGTCTTGTTTGGAACCCTGGAGGCGAGGCAGATCTCAGGTCGACTTTGCGACTGCGGGATCTCGCAAAAGCAGGTAGTTGGAGTGAGGCGTCACATTGTCGATCCTGATGAACGTATGACCTTGATGAACGTGTGACCTTGAACGTATGACCTTGATGAACGTATGACCTTAAAGTATGACCTTGATCTGCCTGGGATATTTGAAAAAAATTTGTTTCGCATCGGTAGGCAAACCATGTGCCCAGAAAGAGGCTGCGTACAAACAAATGGATACAAATGAAACTATGTATATGCATTAACCTGCTTGCTGTACTGCTTTCCAGAGAAAATATTCAGTAGATGGATGCCTGACATCCATGATCTCTGCATGGCACAAAAACCTTTTTGCATGGGCCAAGGCCTCCCCCAATGATCTCTTGCCACCTCCATCCTTTCTCCTCCGATTATTATAATCTCATCCCAATGTCCCATTTTCTGTCTATCTCTCTTCCCGCTTCTCTCTATTGGTCTCCATTCGTCATTTAATAAGATGCCCTGCCCAACTCCATAGAAGTGTTTTCACTTCGTAAATATCCTCTTATTCTTAGATTAATTCTAAGTTCCTCCTGACATTTCCAAATACTCCTTGGCATACTTGTAGCTTTCCTCCTTATACTATTCATCATCATTATCATCAACCATGGTCAATCTACTGCTGGATGAATGCCTCGCCAGGTCACCCGCCATCTCTCACGGTCCTGCAACGCAATAATCCACCGAGCATTCTGTACACAAACTGACAGATCATTCAGAAAATATGAACGTGAGGTGGGAACGTCCTCTCAGATGCTCTTCCGTTCCTTGGCTGCCACTTGTACCATTATTCGAATGGAATTAATATGCAGAGCGGATGAAGAATAAGAACAGCCACAGCCGCGATGCAACCTCGTAGAGCCCTTACCATGCACGGTGCTGGTCTGATCGTTTTCCCAATAAAAAAAAAGCAATGCCCCCATAGCCCAGGACGTCAAACGCTCAGGATTTGTTTTTCATTTCCTTCAAAAGCAAAAGCGCCGAGCCTGAATTGTCGCAACGGCGTTGATATTTTCATAGCGCGTGCCAAAGTTACCCGCACGCAGCCCGCACACTGTTGCGGTGGCAAGCAACAGCGGGGTCTCAGCGAGTGTAAAGAAAACGTTATGGTTGCAGCGTGCACAGATTAGTGGCTTCACCACGGACGTTGTTGGCACTGGCGAAAAAAAGAGAAGCTCCCGGTTTTGCGATTAGCCTGCCACCCCCCCCACCATCCAAAGCATTTTCAACCCGGTCGGCTGTGAATAATGTGCCCATGAAAACACGGCAAGGAGGGCGGTTGTCTGGTGCCCCTACAACTGTAGCATTTGCGATGAGTGATGGGCTGACGCAGATGTGCATGGGTGGCTGGCGACCCGTGCCGCCCTTTGATGGGGGGGGGGGGGGGGCGAAAAGGGGGGGGGGCTGCCCGGTTGTCAGTGGTGGCGGTGTGTTTGTGTGTGTGTGTTTTTAGTTGTGTGTGGGACAACCAATAGGTTATTTCCAAGCTCCCGTCCTTTATATGTATAGTCGATCCTTGTATTCATCCATTCATTTATGTCTTCGTGTTATTCATGTGGGGCGTCCTCATGGCAACTTGGGTAACCAGAGAGTTATGGGCATTCCCTTTAAACGAATGCAGTATTAAATATAGAGAGAGTTAGGTCATGGTGTCTCCTAACAAACTGTTAAGGAAGGCAAAGAGGGCACCAGCTCAACTAGTCTTACCTGAATATGGCCCCAGGACTCTAGCATTGGGCGTTGTGCGCAGCGGAGAGTATGGGAACAGGATCGGATGGGATCGAGGAAGCTTCTCAGGATGTCAAGTTTATTTTGTTTAAACACGTGATAACTCAAGAGACGAGGATCGTCTCATTTTGCCGCAGGTGAACTAAAAAATAAATTAGATTTTTTTAAAAACACATTATACGATGTGAAGATGGTCTCAGTTGGACCATAAATGGGGTGTAAAATCAGCGCCTCGCAATCATGAGCCCAGAGAGTGAGTGAGCGACATTTCCTGGTCATTTTACATTACGAATACTAGTTTACAGCCCTTGGTCAATTCACTGGCGGTGATGGGAGTTGTTTGACCATACTTCACCACGCTGATCAGTGCCAGTTGGTAAACTCGCCAGTGATGTTATCTGTGGCCAGGAATTCAATTTAGGTAACCAGGTTCTTAGCATAGTGTGCGAAGCACTGTACCATTGTCCTTGAACTCTCCCACATCATAAAATATGCAAAATATATGATGACAACCTCATCCCCACCATAGAAATATGGAGTATCCACCAGTGACTCAGAGCTGGGTATAACACGACAAAAATAACCTCCCACATTCAAGTGAGAAACCACAAAGACTTAAAATCCGAGTGCAAGTTTAGTTCAACAATGCAAGCTCTGCATTACACGAATGATATGCAGGCAAACATCATCTATTGTCACTGGCTATGGTCTCTATGCAGATAATAAGAAGATATTAACTTTTTGCAAATAAAGTACTGTAGTTGGAAGGTGATTTATTATGTAATGTAAAACACACGCGCTGACGTGTCGAGTTTAAACTGACAATATATCAACGCAACACAGCTAGGATATACAGGGTGCTTCAAATTATTTTTTAAACACTTCTGAGAATTTGCCACAATATCACGAGAAATACCGCTGCCTCCAGGCTCTGGAGACCACCTAGAGAATATTCCAGGCATTTGTTGACAATTATGGCGAACAAGTGGAAACTGTTTGACTTTTTGAAACTATTAACATTACATTTGTAATCATGTTACAGTGTATTATCCGTTATTTTTACATTTAAAACGATAGTCCCATATAAGTGTTTAAAAAAAATTAAGCACCCTGTATATTGTTACCAAACATTACACTCGCATGTAAAAGGTGACACGCAACTTCTCTATACATTTTTTTTAAATATTGTAGACTGGCCAGTGAAAGAAATTCGAATCGAGGAGGCTCCCAATCTGGCTGACCCCCACACGTGTGATGGAAATGCCAAGGAAGGGAGCGAATGGGGAAAAAACTGTGAATACAGAAGTTAAAATTAGTTGTGATGAGTTGCTAGAAGAATATATGAGGTATGCCTGTATTGAATTTGTTCCTTGGCTTACAATAATAATAGCGATACAGTAGAAGATTAATTGTTGAAAGGAAATTGCTTTTTTTTTGCAACGTTTTGTGCTCGGGAGGAAACGGGAGAATGTGGAGAAAACCCATCACCCATGCGAGGTGGTCACTCTCAAAGGTCCGTACAGATGGACTCAGGAACCCACGTGCTGTACTCAAATCTAGTATCCACCTCGCAGACCAGACTCGCTTAACACGTTTGCATTATCTATCAACTCTTGCATCGAGCGTTAAATCATTTACTTACAACGTTCATATATACAAACATAAAAGCATGCAATATACGCTCGTGGCGAAGTGGCAAAGGAGTGGATCACGTCTGAGGATGCCCAGCGAATGGATGGAGCGATGCAATCAACTCGTGTGCAAGGTGCTAGCTTGGTTTGTTACATTGCAGATCCGTGAGAGATGACAACTTGGGAATGCCTCCAGTCAGCATGTAGTAGATTGTTATTCTATGGGTCTTTCGGTAAAGGCACGTAGATACAAAAATAATAAAAAATATCACGACGTTTCGATCGCAACACAAGCAATCGTCTTCACCTGAAGACGAAAGCTGTCACGAAAGCTTTAAGTCAAGATTTAGTAGATTGTTGGTCGTGATAACAATGACCCACCGACTCTTGCCTCGTGGCAACGTTACCTACGGTTCCTGAGCCCTAGGTAACGTTGTTAATTAGGGAGCACCGTCTGCTATTCACAGGCATTGCGAATCTTGAAATATTGAGGCGTCTATTTTACCGAAATCGATTAGAAAAAAAAGCCTCTTCTTGTTATTTTGGCTCCCCCCTACCCACCCAACCAGCCCCGGCCACCCCAACCATCACCATCACCATCTCCGTTCACAAAGATCGCGTTCAAGGCGCGCGTGGTGGTAGTGGCGGGGGCACTGATTGCTTTATCACCTTGCGGCACGCATCTGTGCCTGGCCGGGAGTCTTGCGAGCTGGGTGGCCCTACCCGACCGCGTCTCTTGGCGGGCGAGGGCCTCCCCCTGTCGAGCCCTTCTCTCACGGGCTCGCTGCGATCCGACGCGGGCCGGCTCGCCGCATCCACGACCCCGGGGGACTGCGCCAGGCGAGCCGTCGGGAGCCCCCGCATGCCGCGGCTGCTGTTGCCCAACACACGCACATCACAGTCGGTGCTGGATGAAGCTAGTGTGGGGCCTGTAGAATATATGTTATAAAGGAGCCCTAAATAAATAAAAAACACACACACACACACACGTACATTCTAGATTTGAAGCTTTCGTGACTGCAAGGATCCATACTCTTTGGTTCTATTCGGTAAAGTCACGTGAAAGTATAAAACAACAAAAAATTAAATAACACAATAAAAAATTCACGACGTTTCGGCCACAACACAAGTGGCCTTCATCAGGTGAAAGGACGAGACTGTCTCGAGGACAGCGCTGGAGTGAACACAGCCAAGCTCAGACCGCGACCTTTAAGCTTGTGTGAGAGGAATTAAGGTGCCTTGACAAAGGAATTGTCATAAAAAATATTCTAAGTCCGCCAATTAAATGCTAATTTTTATGCTAATGCCTTTGTCAAGGCACCTTAATTCTTCTCACACAAGCTTAAAGATCTTGGCTGTGTTCACTCCAGCGCTGTCCTCGAGACAGTCTGGTCCCTTCACCTGATGAAGGCCACTTGTGTTGTGGTCGAAACGTCGTGAATTTTTTTATTTTTTGTTGTTTTATACTTTTACGTGACTTTACCTAATAGAACCAAAGAGTACACACGTGCATATTAAAACACACTTTTTTGTACTTGCATAGTAAAATCATCGTATTTTTCATTTGCTATACAGCCGGATAATGCGAAAAATCGCTCACCTTAAACACCCGGTCGTTCATAAAAGTTGAAGGCGGTATAGTACTGTAGTAATAGAGCAAGTGAAGAATCACTCAACCGGAGTTGATAGCTTGAAAGCATTTAGCGCGGGGCCCTTGAAAGTGCGGAGCCCGTAGCTACTACTACAAATGTAGTAGCTACATATGTAGTAACTACATTAGTAGTAGCTACATATGTAGTAGTAGCTACTACATATGTAGCAGTAGCTACTACATATGTAGTAGCTACTGCTACATATGTAGCACGAGGATAATCTGGCACTGATCACGGGAGTGAGGACCATTGGCACAGGGCAAGTGGCCGTGCACGTAGTACTGACTACGTTTGGAGCGCCACGCAAGTGGGTGGTGTCGCCAGGACTATTGCACCTGATCGAATCAATCTCTCCACGATGAGCACGGTTGGATACGTACGGCGCGAAAGAAGTTCAACATACATACTTAAATCATGTATATGAGCGCAACTCGGCGAGACCGGCAGAGGACAGAGCGTGATGCTACACACCGCTAACCCTCTTTAAAGAGGGTACCTGCACATTTAGTTTTATTTTCTACCTACAGAAATCAGACTGATCATCGGTGCTTCGCCAGAAATCCAACCCTGGTGGCCTGCAGCACGTTCCAGGGCGAGAAATCGCCCTACCACATCCTCGTGTTTGCAAGCAGCACTTTAGCGTCAGCAATCTGTGCGGCTTAAGACATCTGTTTAAACGTGCCGTTGACAAGCCTTGCGACCTTACACAGAAAACACCTCTGACTAAAGGACCCAATCTCACCTGGTTTCGCCGTGGTCTCTGGCAATCTGTTTCTTGTCCTCCTGTTGCATACTTCCAACTGAACACGACGGCAAAGCTGCGGTTATAACGTGCCCTTTATAAACACTGCGCTGTTCACCTATACGCAACGGCTGTGTGCCGAGGCGATGCTATTGTTATGCATACAAGCTCGGACGCGTGCGTGTGTAAGGAGGCTGATAACATTCAGCCGTAGGTATCGCTCGATTGTCAATAGGCATTCTGGATCAGTCGGTCTTTGTGACTTATTTCGGTGCCTGGGAGGTCCCCTGGACGTTCAGACACGCCCACAACGTGAAAGTTTGAATGGGCTTTAGTTTTTGTCATGCAGTATTTGTTTAGTCTGGTTTCCTCCAAAACTGCAGGTATTTGGTAACGTTTTAGACAGCATTGTGAAGCCACGCTAGACGTGATTAAAGACTGGATTCTTCAGAGCTAAATAGTTCTACTAGTTAATGAAGCATATTTTCGCTCGGCAAGTTTAAAAAAAAAATAATTAACCTGATATTTCTTTCTTACAATTTTGATCTACAACCAGACACTAAGGGGCCGTCCATAAATTACGTCACTCAATTTTGGACGATTTTTGACCCCCCCCCCCTCAAAGAATACGTCACAAAGCTGACCCCCCCCCCCAAACCATATTTCCATTTTTAAAATAAAACATGCTTCAAATCGTTTTAAGTCATTGTAGTGCGTATTTAATGTGGCGCCGCACTCTGATGTTGTAGGAGTGTTATCACAATTAGTGTTGTAAAACAATTCCATATTTATTTAAAGTTGCGCATTTTTATGTGACGTCACATTTCTCACCCCACCCCCCTCGTCACACATGTCTGACCCCCCCCCCCCTAGATGCATGACGTCATTTATGGACGGCCCCTAACTACTCCAAAAATGTGTATTTCCCGCAAAACAAAAATTGACAACTTGCTTCAACGTCTTATATTTAAAGACGTACCCATCGGAAACCGCTTAATTTAAATATTCCGCTTTTATTAGAAAGAACAATTGTTCAACTTAATACTGAGAGGAAGCTATTTTTAACTGATTTCTATTTAGATTTGAACATCATAAAATGTATTTGTTCACTCAAAATCGCTTTAATCCGAAATAAATAAAAAACAATCAAGGATAGAACAATGGTTCTCGCTTTAATTTTATTTGCTGTTTAACGCTCTTTGAAACGAAAAAAAACACCTTATATTTTGAATTGTTTCTGAATGACATTCACAACCATTTCTATGGGGCACGTAACATTGGATTTGGGGGCCTTAAAATTTAATCTCGGATCTTCAGATTTTCCTGTTGTGTCCTCAAAGCTATGCACCAAATTGCATCTTTCTACCTTGTCGGGAAGTACCATTGGAGGTTTTTGAGACATACATACAAAGGTCTCTATTTATATAGATTCATTTTCACGCAATTACAGGCGTCCCTCGGATAACCCTCAACGCGAGTTCCTGAAAAACAGCGCGCAAGTAGAATTGCGTTGTATGGAGCCTATTTTCTTGTAGACAAGTATGTTATAGGGGGAGATGGGTGCGATACTATAGCATTAAATTACATATAATTTCAATTATTTCAGCCCAGGATTTACAAAATACATATGCAGTATTCCTTCGTTATTTGCGAGGGATACGTTCTGGATATGCTTGTGATTAGCAAATTTAGCAGATATTGGCCTGACGAAAGCCAAGCTTCTTAATTACCTTACATAAATAGGCTATTAAAAAAATCTCATCACTTTCTCGCATCACATTCTCTCTCTTCTGATGCAGTCGTGTCGTTCCAGACGCTATTCACGGTTAATAAGTTCGTGAGTAACGAGGGAATACTGTAAATGGAATACTTTACATTGCAAACATTACTCAATAAGTCTAGTAAGAAATGAAGATTACTATGAATAAAATTACATAAGGAGTAACTTCAGGGCTTCTTGGACGCTTGCTTGGGCTGCTTCAACTCAGATCTGAGATGGCTACATCCAGCCCATGATACTGGGCGTGATGGCACCGTCAGAAATAGTTTAACTTATAATTTTTATCACTGAAGATATTTTTTTATATTGAAGTGTGAAGTATACCCCTAACATATGAAGAGCATAACTGCGCTTTGGGGGGTGCACATTTCGCTAGCAACGTCTGCATACCTTGATCTTAATTGTTCAAATGAGCAGAAGAAACATCAAAATAAAGCAATACTTTATTTCAAACGTAATTATACAAGATTCAAAGGGCAGCAAATGTGCTGAAGAGTGAAATAAGAGTAATTTCTACAGCATGCTTATGAACCAACGGTAATCACAATAACTTTGAGGGAATTTTTCGAATTTGTCAATTTGTCAAATGCAACTCATTAAAATTTGGATTTAGCTTCAAACAGCACACATCTACTCCAACACTAATACAGTAACACTAGCACTCATTAAGGCAGTGCGGCTATATATGATTAGAGGAGTCATCAAGTGTAAAGAATTCATTGGTAAGACAGCTAAACCTGAAAAAACAAACGAAAACAGTTTTTTCTTAAATGAAGTATTTTCAACTTTCAATACATACAGAACAGGTGCCAAAAGGCAACACAACTACATAGAATTTAAGTGGCTAATGACTAGTTAGTTGTGAATGACAAACCAATCTGCATTAACAAACTTCAAAACTTTTAACGTGTTTGTTAACATGCGCTCTGCAGCGCTTAAAACACCACCGGGAATCATCCACTGCGCGGCGAGTTTGAATCTGTAAAACAAAACAGGGAAATATAAAAATGTGTACATGTCAGGATTCATGACTATTAATAATTTAAGGCAATGTACATATAATTAGCATTTAGAATAAAAAAACCACACAACTCTTCATTTACCTCACGCATAATTGTGCATTTATTTGAATGTAAACGTTATCACATCTTCAAAACACCCATAGATTTGAAATAAAATCGATAGGAGGTTCAATACCTGGCTCTTTCACTGCCTGCGCATCTCCTGCAAGCTCTACCTCACCCTGTCCGGCTGTCAAGAGTGCATCAGCAATATCATTCTGCTTCTCCTCCTCTTCTATTTTCTTTCTTAGCTCCTCCTATGTCACAAAGAACAGATTAAACTTCGCAGGAGGGAATTAATGTGAACAGGGCATTTAAGCATTCAATTATTCAAAGAATATTGATTCTTAAAATCCACGCATAAAATAGTGTAAGTACCAATGTATTCTTCTTCTTGGTTCTTTCGGTAAAGTCACGTAGAAGGGAAATAATGAAATCATAAAATCATGTATTATTTCTAATGGAATGTATGAGACAGAACGAGTCAAAAAATACAAAACGTCACCTCGAATCGACAAATCATGAAATTGCAAAGGGAGTGAATCATTACACGCCTACTTCAGTTAGTTTCGATAAACTAGTAAGGAAAGTACACGACGTTTCGGGCGCAACACAAGCGTCCGTCATCAGGTGGGACAACCACAGCAAGAAGCAATTGCTGAAGTGGGCAAAAGGGCTGCTGTAACAAGAGGCCATGTAGATACGAGAGGGGGTGAGGAGCCAGGGAGGAGATGGGGTAGGAGCAGTGTAGTGCTGCTCACTAGAGGGAATGAGGAGCGAGGGAGCAAGAACAAAATGCCGGGGTGGGGGGGGGAGAAAGTGAGCGGGGCTGGGAGTGGGAAGCAACACTGGTGTTGCCTTCATATCCGCATCTCCAATTTCCTCAGCTTGTCACCCCCAGCCCCGCCCACTTTCTCCTCCCACCCCCCCCCCCCCGGCATTTTGTTCTTGCTCCCTCGCTCCTCATTCCCTCTAGTGAGCAGCACTACACTCCTCCTACCCCAAACCCCCCTCTCTATCTCTCCTCCCTGGCTCCTCACCCCCTCTCCTATCTATAAAGCCTCTTGTTACAGCAGCCCTTTTGCCCACTTAAGAAATTGTTTCTTGCTGTGGTTGTCCCACCTGATGACGGACGCTTGTGTTGCGCCCGAAACGTCGTGATTTAATTTATTTTATACCTACGTGACTTTACCGAAAGAACCAAAGAGTATGGATCCCTGCAGTCACGAAAACTTAAAATCTAGATAGTAAAGAAAGTACCTCGCAGAGAATGGTAAGTTTAGGAGGAATGTCTTCAATCTGCACAAAGTCATCTTCATCAGACTTCTGACTGAGGCTGCCTGAGCTTGAGGCCGACCCCTGCTGCTGCAAAGTGAACACAGGGAAAAACCATGAACCTATTAGTAAAAATGAAACCCAAAAAATTAACGCATTATTCCATAAATATGTACATAGGTTGTGTGCCAGGGTGTCTGACATGCATGTAAAACTTCATTAATGAGGGCTTAATATCAATAAGGTGCTCCATTATAGCATTCTGTTGCCATCATCTTAATGTCACTCCTGCAGATTTCAATGCAACAACAGCATTCCCTGACCAATTTTAAAGCAATGACTCGTTCATGCACATAGCCCAGAATATACATCCTAGGTAGGTCCATACAAAGTCTTTGGCTTTAAAAGAAATATTTAACGTGTTTTGTTTTATAATTCTGGTGAATATCACCTACTGTAAGCAGTTTTATGTGGGGGAACACACCGGGATGTTGACCAAAATGGGGGATTCGGTGTCTTGGCTGCTGTGTTCAGACGAATGCTGGGAGCCATCCTCTTGTCCAGTTGCATCAGCGGTGGTGGTGTCATGATGACCAATGTTTTCCCTTCTGCTTCCAGCATCATCTGGTTGGTCATCAAAGTGCGAAGGTTCACTTGCCACTGGTAAGGTGCAATCCACCGGGTCTGAAAAAACATGTTTATATAATAGACTTTAAAATTTCAAAATGTCCACAAAGAAATGTCAAAGTGGTAGATGGGCGAAATGATTTTGAAAGCATTCAACTTACCAACGATGATAATTTGTGCTCTGAGTTGAGCTTTAGGAGAAGAAACATGAGGAGCTTTGGCCTCACTTCCTTCAGTTATTATTGGCTCAATCTGCAAATGTAAATATTATTGCATTGAATGACTCACATTTAAGTTGTACTATATAAATATCCCGAAGAAAAGCAGCCGAAACAAGTCTCGTGCTTAGCACTCCACATGAAAGTAAACGATGAATTTGCTTACAATGCCATTTTGTACGTGATGTGTTCTTTTGGAAATTCCAGTCATTCCCCATGCATTTATTAACATTGCATTGATAGGCACCACTTCACACACCTGTTCTGGTTCATCATCTGCAACTCCACCAGATGCTTGCAGGGAAGTGGGAACTTCTAGTCTTGCTGTGTCAAATTCGTGTTCCTCCTCCACCTCCTCATCCTCCCCGCTCCCATAGTTAGTCAGGGGTAGTGTCTCTGCTTGTGACAAACCTTAAGCAGATAATCAGAATAGTTATAAAATACATTTTTAAGATGCTACTTATATTTAGTAGAGTTGATATGCTATCTTAAAAAGGTTATATTGTGGTAAGAAAAATAATCTCTTACTGTAAAAGGTATGCCTGGGTGGGGCATCTTCATTTTCCCCTTCATCTTCATCATCCTTGTATGAGAGTTGGCATTCCATAGCCAAGTCATCATCTCTAGA